CCGCCGCGCTCGCGGTGCCGCAGCGGCTGGGCAGCTGGCGGGAGGGGACAGTCGCGTATCAGGACGCGCGGGCGCGCGCGCAGCCGCTGAGGGATCACATCGGCGGCCTGCGGAAGGAGATGGAGGCTAGAGAGGCGGCGGAGGACGAGGCGGCGGCGAAGGGCGGCAGCAACAGCCTCGCGGCCGCGCTCGGCTTGACGGCGGCCGCCGGCGCCCGCGCGGGCAGCCCCGCGCCGGCGCCGGCGGCGCGAAGGCGGTCTCCGCGGCGGCCGCGGCGCGGCGCGAGCGCCGTGGCGGCGGCGCCGGGGATGGCGCTGCTGCTGCCCAATGCGGACAGCGCCGTGCTGGCGTTTGACGACACGCCCGCGGAGCAGCAGCTGGCCGCTGAGCTGGCGGGCCTGCTGGGCGCCGCGCGCTGCCGCGGCGTCAGCTGGCCGCGGGGGTGGGAGCAGCATGCAGAGGCGCCGCCGGCGGAGGCGCTGCTGCAGGGGGACGGCGCGAGGCGCGGCGTGCTCGACGTGTACCAGCTTGATGGTGTGTGTGTTTTTGTGTGCGTGTGTGTGTGTGTGTGTTGAGGTGTGTGTGTGTGTGTGCGTGTGTGCCAGTACACGTGTGTGAGGTTGTGCATGTTTGACTTGATGGTGTGTATGCATGTGTAGAGGGGCGCAGGACTTGCGAGTGCGTGAGGCTGAGCTTGCGCCGGTGGTGTTTGGAGGTCGGATGACTTACATATCAGCCCCGGCTTCTCCCCTCCTGGCTCTATCAGCAGCAACCCGCCCTCCTCCACAGCCACCCTCGACACAACCAACCCTTGAATTGGTCACCCACTCCCCCAACCTGCTTCAGGCCCTGATGTGCTGATGACCTACCTGAAGCGCGCATACACGTGGCCCGTGGAGGGCATTGAGAGGTGACCGCGCAGGGCGCCGCGCAGCGCGGCGCGCCGCCGCAGCACGCCAGCAACCGTCCGACCTGCAGGCCGCGACGCCTCGCATCGCGGGCGTGACGCCTAGTGTGCGCGCTGCTTGCTTTTGCTAAGCAGCGCCCGTGTGGCGTGTTTGGCTGTGCTTTGAGGGGCCCCATCTTCACCCCCCCCCCCACACACACACACACATCCCCTCAACCCCAAGATTTGGTGACTACGGCGTGCAGCTGCTGGACGCGTTTGAGGGGCGGCTGGAGCAGCAGCAGGCGCACAGCACCTCCTGGCCCAGCGTGGACGAGCTCTTCAAGGTGCGCATGGGCTCCAGCGTGCGTAGGCGTGTGTGGGCATGTGTGTGGACTCATGTCCGCAGGCGCACATGTGTTTGTGAGTGTTTGTCTGTGTGTGCATGCGTGTATACGGCAGGTGTGTACGCGCATATATGTGTGTGTTTGCCTGCAAAAAGTGTGTGTGCTTCTGTGTGTGTGTGTGTGTGTGTGTGTGTGTGCCTGCTTGTGTGTGTCTCTGCTTGTGGTGTGTGTGTGTGTGTGTGTGTGTGTGTGTGTGAAGGTGTTCGGGGGCACTAGAGACCCCCTTATGTGTGTGACGTATGGGTTGCCGTTGTGACTCACACCACATTTGAACAGCCTGGCAGTACCATTGGTTTGTGCGTCCCCTGCTCGTCCCAAGCCTGTCAGCCCGGCCCCCCTCCCC